TGCGCCTGAAGCTGCTGCCCAGCGCCGCGAGGCACCAGTTTTGCCCGACAGGCGCTTGACAGTCAAGCGAATCTGGAGATGTGGAAATGCGACAGAGGCGCCTCTTGATGAGGGGTCGAAGTGAAACACTTCTAGCGCCCTTGAGCAGCTCTTAAAAACCCCATTACATCCCAAGCAAGAGTTGTGTCATAACACGGCCCCGCGTAAGCAAACCCTGCAAGGCGTAGCTGCGTAAGCACCTGCGTAAGCTCTTCTTCGTGATTGCTGGGCAAGCTTTGTAAGCATGCTCGGAAGAGTTGTTTCACACATGTGCTTATGTATTTATTGGTGGCTGGTGCTGTTGCAGCCTAGTCGAGCTTGGCAACTTGCCCGGAGACTTTGGCTGCAGGAGGACGTCTGAGGCCGCATGTGCGCACCAATCGAAAACAAAACCAGCAGAACTTTGACTGGGCGCTCTTGGGGCTCATGCTAGGTGCTGTTGCAACCTTTACTCGGACAAACAAAGGCTTCTGAAACCGCTGGTTTGCGAAAGCTGAAGGGGCTCGGGCGCATGAGCTCGCGTAAGCAGGCGCGTAAGGTTCGCGTAAGCCCGCTTAGCCCGGCTGCCCGCTAGCCCTCGAGACGGATGCCGCTGCCAACCCGTTTCTTGACTTGCAGTAAGAACAATAACGCCAAGCCGCTGAAACTCGATGAGGGTGGTTCTTCGTCAGAGTACATCATCTTGAACAGGTCTGGCGGCTGCGTGAGAAAAGGAGCTCGCGTAAGCAATTCTTGAGGGGAAACACTCAAAAACGCCCACGCGTAAGCGATGCGTAAGCTCAACATGCTCGCTGTCTGCCGCATAAGCCAAAACATGGATCGGGTAAGGAAAGCGCAAGCTCGCGCGTAAGCAACTTGATACGACATAGGGATTCATAGGAGGTTTATGGAGTCGCTCCGTGGCTTTTTGCAGCTTTTTGCGCCTTGCCGTGGCCACTTCCTACATGTTTGGAGCATAGCAGAGGTCAGGGCATTTGTTGGATGTACGCCTGCGCCATCATCATGAATTTCCCCCCCGTCTCAACTCTCCACGAGTGCCGTGCGTCAACCAAAGGGAGCACATATATCATATACCGTCGTGTGTCCATGTGTCCAGGCGTTGGGCATTGGACGAGGTCATGGAGTCCGCCAGTCTCATAGAGGGCCAACTGCACGTTGCGCCAGGGTCAACTTTCACGGGTGAGCATAGGTGAGGCACCATGAGGAGGCAGTACACCGCGTCCCAATGTTTGTCCGGCCCCCAGGTCAGCGCTTTTGAGGTGCAAGTGATTGTACACACATCTAAACCTTTGCATGCATGTCTATATGTATAGCGATGCACACACATATATTATAGCAGTGCATACATAATGCTTATGACGTTTGTTTGTTTGTTTGTTTGTTTGTATGTTCTTGCATTCATGTTTTCCTCTTTTGTTTGTTTATTGTTTGTTTATTGTTTGTTGATGCGTGCGTGCGTGCGTGCGTGCGTGCGTGCGTGCGTGCGTGCGTGCGTGCGTGCGTGCGTGCGTGCGTGCGTGCGTGCGTGCGTGCGTGCGTGCGTGCGTGCGTGCGTGCGTGCGTGCGTGCGTGCGTGCGTGCGTGCGTGCGTGCGTGCGTGCGTGCGTGCGTGCGTGCGTGCGTGCGTGCGTGCGTGCGTGCGTGCGTGCGTGCGTGCGTGCGTGCGTGCGTGCGTGCGTGCGTGCGTGCGTGCGTGCGTGCGTGCGTGCGTGCGTGCGTGCGTGCGTGCGTGCGTGCGTGCGTGCGTGCGTGCGTGCGTGCGTGCGTGCGTGCGTGCGTGCGTGCGTGCGTGCGTGCGTGCGTGCGTGCGTGCGTGTGTGTGTGTTTCCTTGCTTGTTTACTTGGTGCACATGTTTTGTTATTTTTGTTTTAATAGCTTCATGGTTTTCACTTATGAAACCCCTCCTAACTTAAACCAGCCCACAGCAACTCCCAAGCGCCTCCCGATCAGAGCCACTAGCCAACCCCCGGGCTACGAGGCTGGTGATGGCAGGGATGTTGCCAGAAAACCAGCCCTCGGGGAAAAAACAAGACCTGGGAAAAAACAACACCCTCTACCCTCCGCTTGTGAGGGATGGGGGGCTACTGGTTCAATCAAGCTTTTTCCTGTTCATTTCTTGTCCTTTCCTTTTGAAAGGCCCCTGCAGCTCACAGGACTGAGTAAGGACCTTTGGCTTGCCTCTGTTAATTTATGTTATTGTTCGTTGCTGGTTTCTGTTTGTATCTTCCTTTGTTTTTCGGAAATGCCCCCAGAATGATAAATCAGGGTCTTTTTGTGCAGATATTTCTTGTCCCTGTCTTGCGTTTGCACGCTTTCCTTTTGAAAGGTCCCTGCAGAACTTGAGTAAGGGCCTTTGGTTTGCCTCTTCTTTTCCCGAGTCGGGGTTGGTGTGGGTAGTTGTTGTTTGCAACTTGAAAGGTTCGCTTGAAAAGTCTTCGCAGGACCTACGTCCCTTCCCGGATACCTTTTGTACGCAAGGATTTATATAGTCTACGAAAAACGAGCGTTTGCGAATCACCCAGTGGTGCAAGCCCCCCCCCCCCCCGTTTTTTGTCGAATTTTATTCCGTTGGATGTTGGGCTCAGGGTCCTCTGAAAGATTGCCTTTGAGTGAACGACTTCTGTTTTGCAGTTGACCTTTCTGGTTGATTCTGGGGTCCAAGGAGATCCTTGCAACTTGCCCCTACAGGAAGCGATTTGGGTGGTTTTTTGTTCGACGCGGACGGATCTCCAACTTCTTACTTCCGGAGGCGCGTTTTGCAAACTTGGCCGTTGGTTCGGCCCTGTCGCAAACCCAATGCGCAAGGACATTTGACACATGTTGAATCGCTTTTGCCATTCATGCGTAGTTTGGCGCACCGCTGAAAGCTAGACCATTTGGTTTCAAGCATGATGTTCTGGCAACTGGCCCTGCTGAGCCTCCCCATGCCTGACAGCTTACTCAGGCGTACACCTTGCTGCCTGGAGTCAATGACTCAGAGGCCTGCTTTCGCAATAATAGTTATGCCATGATGTTTGGTCATGGTGCGTGGTGCCTAGAGTCTGTCTGTATCTATTGTCGGCAAAGAATTCAGAAGCTTCGGCAAACTGTCATTTGAGCATATAAAAAGCGAATAATTACCTGCTTGGACTAGTCGGTCCAGTTTGCATAGAAGCGGCCCCATCGTGCCTTGCCTTGCGACATGCGCTACATTCTGCCGCTGGAATGCCAGGCGCAGGCCTCGGAGCTGGTGCAGCTCATGCTGCAAGGGCCGCTGCCCCAGTCACTTCGGACGGTCCGCGCGGCAAGTCGCTTTTCCAAGGCGTCCGCCCGGCTCACCACGGCCCTTCGTAAATTTGGTGCGCGCCTTGCCGTCAAGAGCTGTGGAAGAGCTGATGGAAAGATGGAGCAAGAAACCCCAAGTCTGCTACCGAAGATTCAGACCAGCGAGAGGAGTTCTTGGCATGGGGTACCGGTTCAAGCAGTGTGCGTCTGCATGTTCAAGATCCAGTGGAACTATCACGACACTGCAGCTCAGATGAACCTCAAACCAAGGAAGACGCTTCTGTCAGCAATAGTCTTTGAGTTTCGCTGCGCTTTCCTCAAGCGACAGCCGCTGGAGAACCAAAGGGCAAACCATCAGGGATAGATTGTGAGGCAAAGCACGCATGCACTTAAGATAGCCCATGAGTGCTATGAGCAGCTCTTGCCATACCCAAAGCCTTGCACATGGCCGTTCGGCTGAGCTGCCTGGTGCTTCTTGGAGGCACTGTGCAATGCTTGCCGTGCGCTGGTGATACCTTCCCTGCTCGGCCATGCTTAGATAAAAATTTACTAGGAGGAGCAACATGAATGCTACTGCATTAATGTCTTTGCAGCCCAATCCTCGTGTTTGTGTGTGCTCACTTAAACCTGGAAACAATGCCCTCCGAGCCGCCACTCGTACAGGGTCTCGGGATTGGACTCCGGGCCGATAGATAGCTTTGTTGGCTCAGGTTGCTTGTCGAGCTTGCCAACGGGCGCGGCTGCGACAGCTGCGACCGCTTCCCCAGAATTTGTGATGATGCAGCTGAGATTGCATTCAATTGTTGTGCGTTTGTTAGACACTGCTTTCTGCGGTTTTGCCAACCCTTGGTTTTACCGCGTTCAGGTGCAGCACTGCATTGAGCATTGCGGCGCCCATCACAGTTTCCTGCAGCACTGCGAGAAGCTCCGGTTTGCCCAGCATGTTGTTGCCGCCTTGAGTGCTTTTGCTGGCAGCCGACGGTCAGCTAAATGATTTTAGGCAGGATCAAGCTTGCTTAGCTGTTTTGCCAGGCAGTTCGAGGCCCAGGGCTCCCCGCCTTATGACATGCCGAGACGTGCAGAAGCAACGCAGGAGACGCCCGTTGCCTACAAGCAGCCAAGACAAGTGAAGCAAGGTTTCTTTATTCCAAAAAAGGGCCGCTGTGGCGGCACGGTGGCATCACTCCTTTTGTCACGTCTTTTCCAAGCAAGGGGCTTGGGGAGTTGCAGAGAGTCGCGCCAGGCCCACGTAGCCCCAGCCAAGCGCAGCTTCTTGGTTACGCGATCTGTTTTGTTTTTAATGTTATTGTGACTCGGCTATGCGCCGGGGTCCGGCGTTGGCGACCTTGACACTGTTTGGTGTTTCGTGATTTCGTTACCCCGAAGTGTCTGCGCGCGGACCTGGGCTTTGTGACACTTGCCCTCTGTCACGCGCCTGGGCTCTTTGTAGCAGCTGAGAGCGTAGCTAGCAGAGGCAGAGAGTCACTCCTTTTTTCACGTCGAGCGTTCCTCGCCAACCAAGACGCTCTCTGATGCACCAACGTGGCCGTTGCATCATCTGTGGATGCGTCACGCAATCTGAAAATGTGCGCGGCGTGCGCGTGGACTTACGCCAGTGAGCTTGCAGTGAGCGGAGTTGAGCTTGCAGTATTGCTCCATAGATGACTCGCAGGTTCTCTTTTGCATTTTTTTCGTGCGGTGCCGCTTGCTTGCAACTTTGATGTGGCTAAACCGCGCTGCAGGAGCCTGAAGATGGAGCTCTTGATGAGCGAGCCGTGCCCTGGCACAAACGCACGACCTGTAGCTAGGTTTTCTGCTGTCATGAAATGTCGTGTCTTGCAAGTTGTATCATGCGCTTTTCAGTGGCAACAAGGTGACATGCTTTGCCTACCTTTGCAGCCTCCAAGGTCATGCGAAAGATGATGTCGCGAGATGGTGATGGTCCTCGCAGATCTGATATGTAGGGCTTTCGCCCCCGGCGAACAACGCCAGGTGCAGATGCGGGGTCGTTTCTCGGCCAGCGTGGAAAAGCGGCCGTGTTTCAACAAGCAGCTGCAGCCCAAGAACAGGCAACCAGAGTGCGATTCATGCTGACGCAGGTGCCGTACAACGCTACGATGGCCAGGACCCATATGAGGGCAACTGGGCTGTTTCAGTTTGGCTCCCTGCCATTGCTTGCGACTATTTTGTGTGGAAATGGTTGGCTTCCACGGCTTGCATTGATGGGTGTCGCGGTGCGTAGGTTGTTCCTCGCTGTCAGGCCGGTGATTCTGCTGGTTTTGCAGTGCCCGGCGCTGGGGGGCCTGCCCAGCTGCCCAACAACAAGTGCAATAACTCATGTTGTTTGATCTAGTGTGGACCCGCAACCTTCTAATGAAAGGGCTGTGAAGGTTCCCTTGCGACATTTCAAACTTCTTTGTTTGGGTGTGTGTTGGCCGAGATTCGTGCCGCATTCCTCAGAGGGAGGAACACCAAAGCAACCATGCGCGGCCTCGGCAAAGAGCATGGCCCAAGTGAGGCCCAGCAGCAAGCAATTGAGAGACTTCCGTTCTCTGTGCCAGGCTCAGATGGCATGTTTGACCCCCTGGCGGATGTGCGCATATTTTTCTGTGCTTCATGTTTCTTTCGCGTTCGAGACTTGCCGTGGACTGGATGGGACATTTCGATGGACAGCTGGCATGTTTCAATTGAGCAGCTGGACCTCAAGACAGCCAAGGCTGCGGGCAAGAGGCCTTCGCACCACCGTGAGGTGGACCCTGATGTGCAAAAAGGCGGCAAACTGAATCGTTTAAGATGCTGGCTGCAGGTGGAGCACGACCGAGGGCAGGCGCCTCATTTTGCTTTGAGGGCGTGGAATTCGCAACTAGCATGGCACGCTTGCCCTTTCAAGCACACAACGGGTAGCAGCATGTCACTGCCGGAAGGCGGCCCCAAAATCACCAGACATGTTGCAAGGTCGTTGCTAGACTTTGCAGGATGTTAGAATGGGTCATGGGGCCTGATCACTCAGAGCGACTGCATGAGGCCGAGTCTTGGGGGCTGCCTGCGGGCAGCTAGCGGCGCGTGAGCGCCCTTCTGCGAAGGAGGACTCAACAAACGTCGCGTGTGGCCCGGGGATGTGCAAGAGCACGCCAGGCTATCTGAGCCAAGCGCTTGTATGAAAAGGGTTGTGAAATTCAGTTGGTATACTCGTTGGTTTCTATCCTTGCGAGCTACCCCACATAGGGTTAAATGTTGGAGGCTCCTTGGAAAGATTTAAACACATTGGTTCTCAGAGTTGCGCAGGACCGAGCAAGTTGATAAATCGGACGGACGACTACCCGTATCTCATAGTCAAGGGCATGTAGTCGCTGCAGCCCAGCGGTCTTCGCCAGGATTCTGAATGCCCACCTGTGCAGCCTCCCGGAGAGGCTTTGTTGTCTTGGCCCCGGCTCGCGTTCGCAGTCCGTCTTAGCAGTTGCTACCAGCTGCGGCCTTTCCGGGATTCCAGGATGTCAGCAGGCATGGCGTACTGCAAGCGTCTGCGGACGCACCCGCAACCATGCACCCAAACCAAACAGAGAGAGTAACTCTAAACCTTTACCATTTCCTGAACCCATCGCCCCAATCAAAATCAGTAAGCCCCAACCCAAAACCACAACAGATACACCCTAAATAGTATTCCCTGATGCCGCTGGAGAGAGAGAGAGAGAGAGAGATGCCTGATGTCTGGCAATGAGTTCAGTCATATGTTGATGTTTGCTGGGAAGATGTATCAAAATACTTGGACCGGGCATTTTCAGATTTCTTGGATAAGTGTGCGAACTATTCGTTTCATGTACTTGTTTTTTTTTTTTAATGTGTGTGTGTTGTGCGTATCGTTGCCTGTGGCGCGCCATATTAACTCAAAGCACAAATGTCCGCCGGTACTCATGCTTCATTTTTTTCTTCCCTCCCACCCACACCTTTTGTTTCTCTTCTATCTCGGCATTCGACCTCCTTAGGGGTCAGCAGCTTTGGTTTATGAGCTTCAAAAGCTCGTGATGGCTAGGTAAGGGGGGTAAATTGATTATCCCAGCTGGGGCTATCAAACAAATCCTTTTGTGGTGTCCCTCAGCTTACCTCCTTCGAGACTCCGGCAAGCGAAAAGGAGAGCGGTTGAATCGAAGGTACGGAGGACTGCTGCGATCGGAGCCGGCGTGCACAAAGGATGGCTCAGGGCCGGGGTGCTGTCGCTACGAGGTTATGTGTGCAGCAGCAACTGCCACATTGGCAGCCAGAGCTGAAGACCTGCCTGCTTCTGATCTCGGGGGTGCAGCCAAGAGCGGCTCTGGGGCTTTTTTTTTAATGCAGGGGAGGTCCGCTCTCCCCACACACAGCTGGGACAGCTGCGCGAGGTGGGATGGTGGGCCAGGGCAGGCTGCTGACCCGAGGTTGCAGAAGCCTGGCGGCGTGACAGGAGAGACGTTGCTGGTCGTGTCGCACCTGGGCATTTCCACACCACTGCTTGGCATATTGTGGGCCTGGAAGTCGCCTAGTTGTTTGCTTGCAACCTGCTTGCTCGTGAATGAATCGCTCGCAGTTGGACACACATGTGCTCAAGCTATGTTCTGCGTTGCATCTTCTCACCGCACCATGGCAGCCGCCGCGCTGGAGTCTGGCGATCATTTCATTGAAAAGAAACTGATCAGTCGCAACAGCTGCTGGGTTGAAATGCTGCCGGTGATAGTCCAAGCTTGCTGTAGACAAGTGTGCCGCCCAGGGTCTGCTGACTGAGCTGTTGTGTGGAGTTCTGAGACGTCGGGAACTGCAGGCATGACCAAGGACCCTTGCGTCGAGCCAGTCAACTTGCGGCTCTTGGAAGCGCTGCTTGTTTCGGGCTGCTTCGCGTTCGCGAAGGCACCTTTCTCCTCACAGCTCGCGCGGGGCTTTCTTGCCTTCGTCAAGCCAACGGCGTGCCATGTTTTGGCGCCAGCCGCTGCCGCTCAACGCTCCGGCTACGCTGCGGACCTGAACAAAGTGGCTCTGTGCGGAACTCTGAACAAAGTAGCGCGGCTGCGAAGCGCTCTCAGGCCATGGTGTTACTGGCCATGTGGGGTGTTCCGGTGTGGCCACCTGCCACTGACTCCAACATTGCTGCGCCACCAAAATCAGCCCGGCTTTCCGAAGTACACCGCGTAGGAGAGGGAGCGCCCAACGACACCTGAAACCCGCGTTCGCAGCCAAGATGTACGGCGTGGCTAACTTTCTGAAAGCGCTGAAAAGGACAATCTTGGAGCCGCCCGTGCGGCGATCCAGAATATTCATGGTGAGCTTCTGAGAGTCCGCTCCGGACTCCATTCGCAAAATGCTTTGTCGCGGCGAGGCGTCCAGGGCGGAGATGCGCGGTTTGATTTTCTGACAGTCGCCGGCCGTGGGAAGCATGGACAACCCGGATAAGATGTGATAGGAAGATCGCCCAGCTAGAGCTGCTAATGACACTTCTTGCAGCGTCGACCTAGCCATCTTTCGGTGTAGGAAGGCACAGAACTCACAGCCGCATTGATGCGTCTTATGTGAAGGTCAGAGCATGAGTTTCTTGAACGCACGGGGTGCCGGGATAGGTCGTGACTTTGCCTTACGCTTTGTGTTTTACTGGGAGTGGATTCCCAGCTATATAGAGCAATTGAGCAGGCCAAGTCAGGGTCTGGAGGGCCCGTGGTCGTGGGGTTTCTGTGAGTGCGTTGGGAGAGAAACGCATTGGGGCGGACGCTGCTGGTTAGACTCGCAATGTGAACCGCACCAACTTCAGCCATGCCAAATGTGGCTAAAGATTGAAATGGCTGTCAGATTCTTTCACCTGCCCGGCCCACTGTGGGTGCGAAATTAAACCGTGGGCAGCTATGCAGGAGCGAGTCTGCATAGGCTTTTCCACTGGGCAGCAGTGAGCTGCCCAGTCGGTGCGCGTAACCAACGCATTGTCTTGTGAGTGAGGCAGGTGAACTCGATGTGAATCGCGCCAACGTAACAAAGGGGGGAATAGCTCCGGCGGTACCGCGGCATATGTCAGGGGGCGCGTTTGGAGCTGGGTCTGCTTAGGACCTGGCAGATGTACCGCGCCACAGCACCAGCGCCTTGGCAAAAAGGAATGTGGCGCCGAGAGCTGAGTTTGAATTTTGGGAGGGGGTGTTTGAGGACTTGCTGGATATGCTTTGCGAGAATGGGTGAGGGCCCTGGAGTTTGACGATTTGTCCGGACACGTGAGACGCAAAACGCGCGGGGTTGTCGCGCTTTTCAAGCGACATTGGAGGTCGCGGCTCAATGCGATTCACATCAGTACAGGGCCCAGTCCAAAGGGACCCGGCCCGGCAACTTGAGACACACACCTCATTTCCTTCATTCATTTGAAGTGTCAATTGCACCAAGGCGCAGCCTTCGTTACGCTGGCCAGGTCAACCAAGCCAGCTGCCGCCCCAGTGGGTGCATCTGGCCGGCCAGGACCATACAGAGCATACAGAACATTTCCCATTCCATTTAACATGTGACATTTGACATTCCAGTATTAGTTGGAATTGAGATGCGTTGTTTTTTGCCATGGGGCTGCATGGCCGAGGCCAAATGGCAGCAGAGCGAAGGTTTCCAGGCGTTGCTGAGGCGCACGCAGGACATGGAGGGCAGGATGACAAACAAGTGCATGGTAAGGTGTTTGGAATTCGGGATGCCAGGGAGACAGCCCAGTCCACGAGTGCCTCGTGCAGCCCCCGCGTGCAGGAAGTCCCCGACTTGAGTGCGCAGTGCTGCGCGGGAACCTCAGAGAGAGAGAGAGAGAGGGACGGAGAGAGACAGAGGAGGCTGCTGGTCAATGAGATGGTCGTCGTTTTGAAGCTTTGAGCCAATCAGGCAAATGTCATATGGTCTTTGGCCAAGCTGGCCTACAAACCAGGCAAGGGATTTGTATCAGCAGGTTTTGCTTCTGGCGGCATTTGACAGTTATTTGACTGTGCGCCCCAAACGTCTTGAAGGCAGCACACTGCTCGTGCCGCTGTTCGCAGCTGCAGAGCGAGGTGCTCAGCAAAGCGGGAAAGCAGGCATGGGCTTTGAATATTCTAAAGGCTAACTCCCAGTTCCAGGCTTGCATTTTGTGGATTGTATCTCACCAATGTCTTCAACATGCTTTGCCACAGGAGGGAGGTTGGGCATTTCTGGCCGCGGAACCTAGTCAGCACCTGAGAGTGCACAGGGGGAGCCAGGGTTGGCTGTCTCTTTCTTGGACAGTGCCGCGTAGACGCTCGGGGCTAAATTTCTTAGCATGTGCTGTCTCTGGAGCTGGAGGTTCCAAAAGTCCGCCTGAGCGACAGTGTTTGACGTAGAGAGTTGTCAGAAAAGTATTCCGTGGCAGGTGCTTCTAAATGGAAAGGTGTTCGTTGGTCGGTCGTATTAGTGGCAGCTTAGCGTGCATCGTAGTGTGCCTCACGTTGCTTAGTGGACTTCACGTCTGGAGCCATTGTTTTTAGTTAGCTTGGCTTTTGAACTTGGTTTTTGTTTTTTGAGGCTTTCCGCCCTGCAATTTGCACCAAGTTAAAACGAACCCTAAACCCACCCTCAAGCCCACCAAATACTGCAGCACCTATCCTAAACACACCCGGAGGCAAACCCTCTAGCCATCAAATGAAATCAAATCTAAACCAATCGGATGTGTGATTTTGCTTGAGTTGTCCATCCCTGCTCCTAACTACAGTCAGCCATTCGGCATCATGTGGTGGGCCCCTGCTAGGCCAATGTCTTGTGGGCATGCGCACGGCTCCGCTGTGGCTCCGGAGGCGGCAAAACAGAAAAAAACACCGCCTTTCAGTGCAGCCAAAGATGCGCATTGGGATCTTGCATCAAAAGACATACGTTGCACATATTGCCTTGCCAGGGCCCAGCAGTGGCTTCCTTCGTCCGGCAGCATCGGTCCTCAGACATGGCCGGCTTGTCTTTTGCCGTGTCTGACTTGCGCTGACCTTTTAGCATTCTTCGGCTTCCCACAGGTTGGGAGGGCAAAGCGAAGCCACTCCCTGAACTCCTTGTTGTCCTTCCGGCCTGAGCCAGCACACCTGACAAATGTGACATGTGAAATGCTCGCCCCTACGCATGTCGGATTGTGGGGGCAGAATATCCTCTACTCGATTTCAGGGCGCCCAAAGTTTGAGGTTGCACTGCTTTCGAGGTGCAACAGCTTGCGGCCGTAGCACCACAGCTGACGCCTGTGGAACTTGCTCAAGCCTCAGTGCGTCGCGCCATGTGGCGCCAACCACACCCAAAATGGTGCTCATGGCGGTACCCCGATCCAAACCAGCAATGCCGCTCATAGCATCATATCGATGTGGTGGAGTTTCTCCTGCCACTGTCCAAATAGAATTTTACTGAAACGTACCGACTGTTCCTTGGCGATGCTCTGGCCTAGGCCAACAGCCTGTGGGCAATGGCACGCATGCGCCAGGCTCCTAGGAATTCGTTGCGGGCCTTCCGATCAAGATCGCTAGCTCATGGGAATTCAAGCCAAGGCCTTCCTCGAAACGAGAGGGTGCTGGGCATGCTTGCCGAAGCCTGAGTGTTCCGACAGCGCTGACCTTGGAGAATTGCTTGCATTGGCAAGCGTGGTCTTAGCCAGGCTGCTGCTGCAGAGCCACAACTGTCGCGGTGGAAGCCGCAGGCAGTTTCCAAGTGGCACCTTGAGTTTCAGCTTTCCTTGCAAGTAGGTGGCGCGGCTGTTTTGCAAAGCATTTTATGAGCCATGGCCAAATCCGAGCTGACTATTTAGGCACAGCATGAATCATGAGCTCAATATGGACGATATGTTTGGCATGCGCAGGACATTGCCAACGCGCTTTGGGCATTCGCAGCTGGGCTCTGAGTTCCCGTTGTGCTCGCTTTCTCACTTGTCAAGTCAATTTTGGTTTGCCAGGAGTTTGACTACCAGCCACCTGGCCTGACACCTAGAGAATCCTCGAGACCAATGCAGAGGCAACTCGTGGACTAGAATTACTTTGTCATTTGCTTTGACTGCCAAGGTGGGCTGGTGGAAGCGTTGGCCTGTGCGCCGGCTGCTTGGTGACTTGCGACTGGCTGGGTCTTGGTATGCCGTGCAGTCGCATTGAAGTGTTTTTCTGCATGGCTGGTTGGGTAGGGCCAGAAAGCTGCAATATGTTGGAGCTGGCTGAAGCCCGGGTTCAGTGAATTCTTTCGGGTTCGGTCAAGGATGCCTCGGCCTGGTGCTATTACTGCAATCAGGAATTGCTGGCCGTTGAGGTTGAGAGCTTGGGGAATTAGGGCGAGCTTGGTGACCTCGGAAAGCAAAGGCAGGGCTTCAATAGACAGGTGGAGCAGCCTTTGTCTGTGCTACAAGAGAGAGGCGGACAACGCGCCATCGCGGCGCGCCCTAAAGCCGGAATAAAGCCGTCAGCGAGCAATTGCGAGCTCGACAGTTCAGCCACAAAGAGGCAGTTGCGCACGCAACGATGACACAGGGAGAAGGAAGAAGAAGTCAGCGAGAGCGGCAGCGAGTAATTGAAGAAAAGTGCGCGGGGAAGCATATGCATACAAGAAGCATTTAGAAACCTCGGGCCTCGGCAAAGCATCGCTCATCAGCCTACTGGCAGTCATGTCGCGCAACTACAGCCCAATGTTGCTTCCCGGCACGTTTCTCGCGCCTTGCGTTTTTTGGGGTTGTCCCAGCTGGAAACACCTTGCGCGTGTGAGCGAACCGAGCTCAGGCCTCAGGAAAGCCTTGAGCGCTTCAAACCGGACGAACTTGCAATGAGCAACGGGCCTGGGGAACGCAGACGGAGGAGCCAGAACAAGTTGCTGAGTGTCGCTGGTCATTTTGGCACATCGAGTTCTGATTTGTAACCAAGGCCTCCGTTCCATTGCGCGGCTATCAGCGAGTCCTCAACTTAATGCCTGATGCATCTCTTGCGCAAGCCAGGGATTGGGGAGATTTCTATCGTTTGCTTGCACGCTTGTTGTAATCTTCACACTCGAGCCAAGTTTGGTTGATCACACCGCGCGCGCTGCAACGTCAGCCCCGGCCGGTACACACAAACTGCGACGGATTGGCTCAAGCAAGGGCAGATGGTTCAACACACGGCAATGGTACTGAGAATCAGCTGTTCAAACATGCACCTGCAACCACTTGACGCATTTTGTTGCCAGGGCCTGTTGCAGTAAAGTTGCGGGCTTGGGAACTGTCCTGACATGGCCGCTGGACAGCAGAAAAATGACCCAGGGAGCGTGATGTGTTGGAAGGATGTTAAGGAATGCCCGTGGTCAAGCATCCACCAACCAGTATAAAAATCTGCTGCCGAGTGATTTTCGTTGCTTTTTTTAAAGATTGGCAGTAGTTCGGGCAGGCAGTGACTTTGACTGAGATGCACCAGTCACGCGGCGAGGTGACCATGATGTCCAGCTTCGACTTATTCAGCCTCTTGGGATCAACACTTCGGGGCTTTGCCAACTTGTGTTGCTTAGCTCTTTTTTTTTTTTTGTTTTAAAGCGGCGTTTCCAGGATATTTAGTTCTTGGATGCTTTGCCGATGATGATTTTGAAACCTGGTCAGTGCTGGCTGCTGGCAATTTCGCATAATCTGGCAGACAAGCAGCGATGTTTCCTAGTTGACTTGCCTTGACGACAACGTGAGCTGGCTCAACCACCCTGCAAATGCACTTCAGGGGACAGGGAACGACCTCCAGGTAAAGTGACAAGTCGTGTTCTAGAAGCAGTTTTGTATGTGGGATTATGTGGGACAAGGCTTTTTGCCAGTGCAGCAACGCGAAACCTGCTCGCAGCCAGGCACTAAATGCATGACGGCCATGTGCTCCTGCGAGCAATGGTTCGCTTGCGTTGCAACAATTTGTAACAGTAGCATTCGGTCTTTAATGCAAAACCTTGTCGGCAAGTACTCGTCAGGCCGGATTCGCGGTGCTCTGTAATTCACGGGGAAAACTCGACAGGGCTTGAGTTCATTATTTTTACTATAGACCGCGAGTTCATACAACACCATGTCGCGTAGAGGGGGGAGGGACGGGGATGCACTTCATAGTAGCGGCCAGCAGAGTGTGACGAGAAAGACCATCTTGCGGCGGCATTGTGCTGCAGCTTAGGTGTCAAGGATGCAGTCCAATCACAAAGTGATAGTGCATCTTGACCTAAGCCAGTGCTGACCTGGGCAGACACATGTAGACAGCGCTGGCCTCATTTGGCAGGTGCATGTTTTTGTACTAAGGACGCATCAGATCCTCAGATGCATTGTGAAGAACATGCCTAGCAGCATTGATCACCATCAAACCGCCTCGCAGCTTGCTGCGACAAGGCTTTCTCCGATGTCAGCGAGTGCTTGGAACCGGATACGTCAGTCAATGAGCGCCCACGTTTTGGACCTCACTGGGAAGCGCAGAAAGCCGCTTTTCGGGACCGCAGAAAGCACTGCTTATGCCTGAAGCTGCCCACCTACTCGGCCGATTTCCTAAACATGTCAAGCTTGCAGGAGAGGAAACGGTGCGAGGAGCTCGAGAGGCAGAAAAGGATTGAAGAGGCCAGCAAATGGAATGCTGACCTGGCGGAACAGTACACCTACTTGCAGCTCTTGCCCGCAGGCGATCATCCGCCGCGAACTGGAAGAGCAGCATCTCGACACGCTTGATATCGCTTGAGACAGTTGTGACTGACTTTAGGGCGTGGTACTTGGCGCCTTGGCGCCTCCAATTTCTGTCGGGGTATTCGTCTCCGCTGCACCGTTCAGGCGGCGCATAGAAGCGGGCGAGGTGGAGTCCGAATCGGGCTTGAGCCTCAGCGATAGTGAGGAGGAGGAGGAGGACTGCAAGATTGAGATGAAGGCTCTTCAAGGACAACAATGGATTCGGTGCCAGGACCTGTCCTACGAGCTTCAAGGGGATGAGATGTGCCATACCTCGACGACCTGCTCACCAACCGGTGCCGTGGCAAATGACGACGAGGGGCATGGAAAGCAGCTTGCCCCGATAATTTGCTGAGGTGCCGACACTGGAAAACTGCTGGATGAGTTCCCTGTGAAAGGTGCAAGCCACAAGGCGCACTTTGAGAGAGGAGCCGCGTGTCATGCCAGTCTTGAAGCCTGCTGGAGGTAAGGCTCTGAGAAAGACTCTGTTAGGGATGAACCGAGAAAGACTCTGAGATATGTCGCATGAGCGGCTGAACTTGGCAGGCTGACCTGGACATGAAGGACCTGAAGTCGACAACGAAGACTCTACTACATGAGCTATCAGGAGCTCTCGCTCCCTTTCAAGCCCATTTAAGTCCTTGACCTAAACAGACTCCACAGGCCATTTGTTGGTTCTTGGTGTCCTGCCGCAACGGAACTCAGCTATATCTTGTTAGCTCATTTGTTGGCTCCGCGCCTCCGTCGACACAAGATTCAAGATGTGCTCAGTGTCCGAAGGCCTTCCTGCAGAGGGCTTCCTGCTAGCGCATGGCTCCGCTCTATCGGCCATCAGGCAGGCCATCATCCAGCAACGTGCAAGCTGCTGTGCGCCGATGTTCTTGAAAGTGGGATGAAGAAAGAAGGTAGAGACACGGAGAGGCATGGACAGATGAGAGAGAAGCGGAACGAGCGAGCGAGTGAACGAGCGAGCGAGTCAGTAAAGAGAGGAACAAAGCCACAGACAGGGAGACGCTGGCATGTATTTGAAGGAGCAGAAAAGGTGCGCATGGATCTGTGCATGAACAAACCTAGTGCAGTTTGAGATCATGCAGTTTGTGCAACGGTCGCAGGTGTACAATCTCAAGCTCCTCTTACATTTGGAGCCTTTGTTTGATGCCTTTGTTCCAAGTTGCCATTTTCCCATTTCAAATCCCCTCGTTGCCGGCTTTAGCGGCGCAATTGGCTGGGCAGGTGTTTGAAGATCAAGTGAGCCGTGCGGAGGCCGCAAGCTTGGCCATGGGCTCACCCGCATGAAGGTCGCTGAAATTCCCTTCCTTTTGGATCTTTTGGTTGAAGATGGTTGAAGTATAGAATCAAACTCAGTGCAGATACGGTGAGGGGGATTCGCTCCATTGTCCATCGTTGCTGAGGCCACGCGGCTTCGCTTCTCAAAATTCCATATATATTTTTTGCCTCCATGGCTTCGCGCAACCGCAGGCGGTGACGTATCGGAGCAACGCCAAATGTGCCGAGAAATCTAATACCTAAGATATCGATCTAGCAATCCCAACAGAACAGAGAGTTGGTGTCCATAATCCGTTTGTGCCATTTGCATCGTTTGCCAGCTAGCGGGTGGACATTTGGTGTGTTTGCCTGCTCTACAATCGCGTGTGAGTTGTGTGACATGCCTCACACCGGATGCACCAACGGTGCAGCAGCAGAGGCCAACGACCCACGCCACTTGCAAATTTGGATTACGCTTTGTTTGTCCCAATGCTGTTTTGCGAGTTGCTGACTCGGCATTTGCCGTTTGAGTTGCTTGACATCATTTCCCAGACGCTGAACACAATAAATGAGCGCATTGAACAAGGTGACTGACGGCTTGTGGCCATAGGGTTCCGATGCTTCTTCTTTTGGTACCATGGGCATTGCCTGGAGGGCACTGACGATTTTACCATTTTTTCGAATGTGTCCTTAATCATGTCGTGTTCCCCGCTGCCATGCACAGAGTTGACATGATGGCGGCCAAGCTTGGCCGAGGCATCGGCAGGCTTCTCCTGAAAACAGGAGGCTTTGACACCACGAGTCGCTAAGCATGCGCATTGTCGTAGATTTGTGCCACTGCTAGCGTCAGTAGCTGTGAGTCATTTGAAGGGACAGGGCTGGAATCCAGGATGCATTATTCATTGGAAAATGATTGCCAACTCTGGTGCATGGTGGCGTGTGTTAGATTGCGAGTATATGCGCACCTAACTTGCTGACAATGTTTCCGAAGATATTCAATTCTCAGATGCCTGCTTCTTCGCCCGCAAGAGAAGGTCGCAGCTCGCAGCGCGTGTGTCACCGCGTAGGTTTGGGCACATGTTGCACCTCGTGCTGCATGCAAGCACAACGTTTAGGCAGTTTGGTGACTGGCACCTTGGACCGCCCAATCGCTGGCACCTATATTCGTTGGCACGGCAATGACTGAAGCACTCCCCCGGCCAAGCTAGCATTCACCAGTGCATACCAGTGGTGGACCAGTGCATGGATGCATTTGTCATGCCGTGCAAATGTTCAAGAGCAATTTTGCAAACGTGTGCCTCCAAGCAGTTCCGGCGGTTACTTCCTGTAGACCATTGAGCAAAAGCGTCCAATCGGAATACCTGTGAGTCCAACAAGTTCATGTTGAGCTGAGAATGCCTGAAGGAGCGCACCGGGTTGTCCATGTTGCGATTTCGTCATGAAAGGACGAAGCGGTTGCTCCTCGAGTCAGCCGTGCTGAAGATGTAGTCTCAATCGAGATAGCCGGGCTCAAGGCACCTTCAGTCTGTCTTCATTTGGGCGATGCTCGGGACGATGGCTGGCGGAAGCAAGCCATCGGACCAGGGCGAGAGAGAGAGAGAAGATTTTGCAGGGCAAACAAACCGAGTTGAGGGATCAGACAGTTTGTACTCATCACGCTTGGGTGCACATGGCTCCAGAGTGTAGCAAATGCTGCAACTGTGAGGTCCAATGAGTTTCCTAGTGCTGCTTGCCCAGGCCCCGACGCAACATCACCCCTTTGGCGACAAGCTGCTGGACATTTGAGCCAAAATGCACCCACCCCGGATGAGATCCAAAGGGCCATGCCGTGTTTCCGCATGCGAACTATGAGAAGTGCACACTGTCATTGAGTGGCCTCATTAATCAAATCTGATGGGCAGGGTTTGAACCAGTTCTCCAGCATTCTGTGCTGTTAGGCGAAGGAGCTTCGCCCTGAGCGTGTGGCGGATGCTGTGCAAGCATTTGACTCTCGGACTGCACAATAAAGCAGTACTGTAGGTGCGTCGCGCAACAACAGGCCGACCGCTTGCTTATCGTCGATGGAATGTCACCCTAGGGTTCGAACATTGATTCGGCAGAAATTCTTGGCAGAAATCTGTTTCGGATGGGGGAGGTGGTGGAGGTTGTTTGGTGCATTTTGCCAAGAGGGAATGGAAAGACCGGCGCAATCTGAGGCAGAGTTTCCGGTTGGCACTGAGGCAGGGCCAACGGGGCAAGTGCCCCAGCGAGGGGAGTATAGAGCAGTTTGAACAGTGGCAGACATAGTGTTAAATGCACAGGTTGGCCCCGTGCAAGGACGTCAATCTGGCTGTGGGTCAAAACCACCGGTACTATTTTGGGGTGGAGATTGGGATGTTCACTGGGGGTACTACGTACGGTACGGGATGTTGACCCAGGGCAATCTCGGCTCGCCATAACATGACTAGAGGTCAACAAATCATAACCCCCCCCTCCCGGACCTGGCTTTTCACGCGTCAAAGAGAATCATGTGTCGCGCGCACGTTCTCGGACCAGCACGGCTTCAGGGTTCGAGCCAGAACGTGTCGTGTTTTCGTCATTTGCATCACCCGATCCCAGCAAAGGACTTGACCCTGCCAGCCCTGCAGGAAATAAAGTAAGCCAGGAAAGCAACGAAGCACCCCACACGTGTCCCCTTAGGAAAGTGCGTGCTGCCCACCATGCGCAGGCAGAGCCGTCAAGTAGTTTGAGCTCTGGCTTGGGCTAGCAAACCTTGCACATGTTGGCGCGCTTCATTCTGCATTGTGCCTACGCACTGATTGCCCTGAAGCTTGTCTAGTTTTTTTGGGAGTTTCGGCCTCTAGTTGGAAACAGGTCCGCGCGTTCTAGCTCGCAGCCACTTGGCTTCTGAGCCCTTGCGCCAGTGGCATGAGCCATGGGGCGCAAGCAGCTTGCAGAGGAGGGCCGCTCCCGCAGGAAGGATGAGAAGCGTGCCTTCTCCAGAGCCTATTCCCACCCATCGACGCATGATGTGGTTTGCCTAGAAGTTCTGGATGTTGCTTAGCACAGGATCGTTTAGAGAACCCTATTTTATTTCGGCGTGGGCGAATTTGTGATGGTTGCCGAGGGCAATGATCGCTGCTCAGGCAAACCCCGCAAGAAAGTACAGGACATGCCTGCTCCGGGCACGGCTGACGGCGTGGCTCAGTTGCAAACCTGCCATGTATCGAAGGACTAGCAGCACCATTTGGGTTGCCTGAGGTGGACAAAGCTGCCACGCATTTCCAGTCATTGAAGAAGAGGCATCGGGCTCATGTGAGCAATCACGGATGTGCTGGTTGATACTGCTTGGTTTTGCTTGGCTGTGGTGCTGAGCTTCAACAGTGCAGCACTAGGTGTGCAGTGCCCAGTGAGACAAATGGCTTCTTCGAACCTCTGGTTGCCAGTGCTTCGGCCGCAGAGTTGTTTGCACGCGCGTGTTCTCCGGGATGGGGATGCGCTCTCGGAGCGAAGGCAATTCCCACGCCAAGCGGCGCTGGGCCTTCAGGGCTCGGGAGCTGCAGCCGCTGTTTGCCACGTGGCGCCCTTGGGGAAATACGAATCAAATGACTTCAGAGTCAATCTCAAGGGCTGACTACATTTGACATTGTCAGTGACATCATTTGACTTGCACAGCCTTGCAGTGCCCTAGGGACTTGTGGAAGCCTTCTGACATCCAACGCCTGCAAAGAGCGGCCGCCTCAAATACGAGTTTGGCATTGCTTGCGGCGTTGGCTTGTGCACAATGCACGAAGCCGGCTTGGTAAAGGCTCTGTAGCTGCTGCATGCCTTCTTTGCGGACCGAGCACGTAAGGCTATGCACGCGGAGCTGTTGGAATCAACGTTCCAGGAGAACTTTGAGCAAAGCTCAGCTGGGCTTGACCATCAAGGGTGGGGTGCTCAAACCAAATCCGACGTGGCATTCCGGAAAGGTGGGCAAAGGTGGGCAAGCGTAGCTTCGCTTTGGTTGGGGGAGATTCCCTGGGTTGGTTGAGCCCCTTTGCCTCAGTGAGGCAGCAGCAGCTTTTCGTGAAGGTGGCTGGGGAGATGCAGGGCAAGCGGTTGCGAGATTTGCTGCCAGAACGAATTGAGGCGCCTAGGCAGCATTTGGTGATCAGGGTTATGGCACATCCTTTGCCTGTACTTGTATTGGCTCGCGCTTGGTGTTCATGCCAAGCCTCAATGCAACCGAGTTTGTCGATTGGCTTCGGGTGTCTCAAAAGATGAAGGCGCTGAATCTTGGCTGAATGGTGATTCTTGCCTAGGAAAGAGTTTTTGCCATTCCCCGCATTGTTGCAACAAGGCATGGCTTTGTAAACCTTCCTTGCGAAGGACGCTCGGGGTGGAAGGGGATCTGCCGTGCATGAGCGACGTGGCCGGCAAATTAGGATGCATTGAACGGCCATGCATGGTGGGGTTGAATCTCAATCTCTTTGAGGCTGAATGCTTGGCGTGGTTGTGTTGCGTGCTTCGTGGCGTAGTATTCGGAGTCAACGGTTGTGATTGTGTTTGAATGAGCGGCCAGCGTCCAGTGCATCATTTTTTTCTAGTGTGAGAGTCGAGCACGTTGAGTGTCAGCCCAGCGGCGAATGCATTGAGGCCCGTCCAACTGCCTCATTCAATACATCCATTTGGTGATGCACAAGTCCCACGACCCAGTGACCAAGGAGGAGGAGACATCACCTTTATTGCTCAGCAATGGTATGCTTTGTGAGGCTTGTGTGCGTTGCCACAAGGCCCAGCGTGTGCAAGGAAGCATGACAACGCTCAGCCATCGCCTGCCGCATGCAACACTTTTTGGAGCATGAGTGCTTGATCACAATCCTTAGGAGGAAATGATGCATGCAGCACGCCATCTCGGACCGCTCCATGCCAATCAGACTCTTGGCAGCGTTTGGCAACATGCACGCCTTGGGAGAGTTAGCCGCTGCAAGGATTGCAGACCGACAAGGGCTGCCACTACCGGGCGTGTGGCGATCCTGAGCTGCAAATGCTTTCGCATATTTTGAAACGAGCCGCGGCAGGCGTCTTTCAAGACTCCCGCCAAGCATGTCCGGATGGCTTGATGCCTTCCAGCTTCATACAGGAATAGAGGTCCCGTGCAAATGAGCAGGAGTGTCGGATCGAAGAAAACTTCTGAAAACACGCATCACCTGCCAGATACCTGACAGAGCATTTGAGGACTATTTTGTCACCATATGCGCAAGCTGGCAACTTGGCAGTCGGAAACTGACATGAATGCGCACATCCGGCGTAGGATGAAAGGAAGATAAAGGAAGGTTCTTTTGGCCGTTCGCCAGCTGGAGGCTCCATTTAGCGGTTGACAGGCAAAGCCACACCAAGCCAGGGAGTGTTTCCAGACCTAGACGCTTGAATCAACAGGCTCTGGGGCGGGGGGGGGGGGGGGGGCCGCAAGATTGTGGGTGCAAAAGGCGGGGATAGCCACAAGAACTCGGAAAAATTGGGCCTGACTGGATATTGTACTTTGTGGCGCACAGCAAGGATTTCGACTCCAGGCTGGATTGGTTTGCCACCTGCTGCAGTTGCCCAGTGTCTGTCGGCATGCTTTGCCACCTGTGTGATTTTGCAATCTTGAATGTTGGCATTCCGGGTTCGCAAGCTTCAAGGGTGAAGGGGTCACGAACGATGCTTGCGAAGAAGACTTGTACAAAGCAGAAAGGCACGTTGGCCCTGGTAAAAGTTACCAGCTTTCGGTCCGCCCTTTCTCATGTCTCTTCACCCCACAGAATTGGACTGCAGGTAGAGGAGCAGCAGCCCTGCTGGCAGACGCCAGATCTGCTGCGACTGCATCAGGCAAGATGAAGCCTTGGACGAGTTGCTCTGAAGCGGAGCCAACAGTGGCAAAGTGAAGGGTCGCGTTGCGAAAGCTCGTCACCGGGGACCGTGGCACACCGGTTTCAAGAAAGCATGATATACATATGAGAGTCGTCCGAAAGGTCCTTGTATTGAGCTATGAAGGGGAAGACCTTTTGGTCTTAGCGTTGACCTTCGCGAAAGTTCCGCGAAGGGGGTCGCGAAAGTTTTTTTTTTCCGCGAAAGTTTTGTGTGGCTTGCTAACAGGAAGCTGGAGTGATGAATCATGTGTATTTACCGGCAGTGCGCGCAGAGTGCCTGCAGACTAAAGTTGGTCGGAGAATGCGCAGCCTGAGAGTCGCCACAAGAACACGCCGCTGCAAAAGAAACCCCCGCCCAGCAGAAACCAGCTTCTGGGAGGGTTGAAGCTGTCGGGGCAAGCTGAGCGCAGCTTCCAGCCGGATTTTCGCGAATGTTTGGCGTAAGATCCGCGAAAGTTTCGCGAAAGTCGACGGACCTCTCCGCCAGTTTTCCGGACATGAGGCCAACGGGTCCTCTCACGCGTGGCTCACGGCTTGTGAGCTGGAGCTGCGGAAGCGCGCTTCGCGTGCTACTTTGGAACTGGAAGGCCGCGACTTTCGAGCTGGGGCTGCGGAAGCTCACTTTGTGTACTACTTTCGTGTTGAAAAGTTCTGACTTTCGAGGCTGAGGGAGTTTAGTTCGTGTACTACTTTCGTTTTCAAGCCGGGCTGCGGAAGTTTACTTTAAGTACTACTTTCGCACTGATGTACATTTTGTTTGGTGCACATATGGTTTCTGTACATATGTGTTATAACATGCAAGCATAATGTTACCCCCCCCCTCCCCAGCATGGTGAGGTCAGTTGATTCCCTTGCTTGCAGATCAAAGCATCTCCGTGTGTGGCAGGCCTACTGCGAGTGCGGGGACGACTGGGAGCTGGTCGCGGCTCGGGTCGGCGATTTCAGCCCAGAGGAATGCGAACGTCAGTGGAGGACCCTGGGAAGTCTACGAAGCGACCGAGACTCGGGGAAAGGGAGCGATTGTTGACGGAGTTTGGTTGCCCATGGCAAGTAGGTCGAAGTAAACACAAGGAGATAGATCAAAGCAAGAGCCCTTCAGCTGAATGGACTGCAGGAAGTCGGAGTTCGAGGCGCCAAAGGATGTGCCTTGGTATCCAGGCACGTCGTGTGTATCAGTCTCTTTGCTTCACGCTTCGGTAGGACACTGAGACTGCAAAGTACCGAGGTGCCAGAGGGCAGTACTCATGTATGCTCTTTTGCTGAAAAAGAGCTTGCGTCCGATGCTGCTTGCGGCGCCATGCGGTAGGGCATACCTTGAGTGCCTCAGGGCGTTGTTGTTGCGCCCTCAAGCTGCAGACAAAATTAAGTTTTGTACAGCCAAAGCAAAAAAAAAAGAAACCACTGATTTTTGGACGCCCCAGAGTAGCCCTTGGCAAACTGGAGGCGACCAACATGGTTTGTGCTCAGCCCTTAAGCACCACATTTTGCGTCAGCAAGTGGCAAGTCTGTATGGCACAGACTAATTCGGTGACGAAAGGGTTGACAAGCCAAGTTGTATGTGGGTTGGGGGGATAAATGGTGCTGGCAAACAAGTTCCCACCACCGCGCGCGTCAATCACAGGCATCAAATCCAGGCTGATAGCAACATCAGAATGAGCACAACAGCGCGAAGTTCATGGCACCCTCACCCTCTCCCCCACGCTCGGTGCATGTGGGCGAGCATGCGCTTGTGATTCCCCCCCCATTCCCCCCCTGGCCGGTGCCAGGCACGAGACAAAGGGCTGGGACCTGGCTGGAGCCCAAGATATTGGAGCTGGTCCAAGAGTGGCCCATTTGCATCAATCAGTAACCGGCATGGCTGCAGAGGGGAGCGTTGATTGCTTTGAAGTTGTTACGGCTATTCAGTTTGCCTGAGGCATGGCGGAAGATGAAAGTGCAATCGATCCAAGCGATGAAAACAACGCAATGAAGAGTGGTACTAAGCATTTCCTTGCCCAAGACTGGCAACACACAGAGAGATCATGCACGTGGTCATGTTGCCATGTTTGAGGAGGGTAGTCAGGTAGTCGCTAGTTTGCGCACAAGTCAACTGACGAATGCTTAGGATGCATAACCCTAGACAAAGTCAGCCCAACTCAATTTGCCCCAAAGGCCGAGCAATGATTTGCTGTTGTTGGAGGCAGAGCTTTTCACGGCTCAAGGGTAGCGTAGAGAGAACCTTTGTGACCGGCAGCGGTGACAAGGACTTGTCACTTTGGTGTTCTCGCTGCAGTTGCATTTAAAGCCTTATAAAGGCCGTACAGATGTTCAGGCAGGGCGCCTCCCCCAACACCCCGAGGGTACAACGATTGGACGTGGAGCGGCTGGCAGGGAGGTGGCAGACCTTTTGCCGCTGGCGGAGGAGGCCCCCTTTCGCGCCGCCAGATGCGATGGGGTGGATGTGCTGGCAGTGCCCCGCGGCTTGCGGTTTGCTGCCCCTGTCTTAGTACCCCTGCAAGGGATTGCGGGGGGAAGAGCTGGCTGGCGGCTGCTGCTGTCTGATGACGTCATGCTGTCTTGCCCCTATGCCGGCCCGCTCGGGGAGCTTGGGGACTTGCTCTTCGCAGTGGATGCGGGGCGGGCATGACCAGGACGGCGGCACCTCCCTGGGTGCAACAGTTTCCTTGCCTGCTGGGTCCCGCTCCTGAACCCCAGCCTGCAGAGCTCCTTGTGACGCTTGCAGAAGGAGCAGTAAAGCAGTGGGGGAGGCTGAGCGGCGTGAGGCGGAGGGCATCCCGCCGGACAAATCCATCCATCCTCTCGCATCTTGTTTTTTCCTTTTCGACATGAAGAGGGCCCCCACCCTGAATAACGCAAATCCCACTGGCAGCGCTAGCTCGCGCTAGCTCGGGGTTAGGTTGACGTGGCATGTGAGATGCGCACACATGGCCCTTGTGTCTGGTAGCTCGAGGCATTCCTTGCTAGCAAAGCAAAAGTGCTGCGCCTGCCATGCCCGCTCTTCCGAAAGCATTGCGCCTGTCACGGAATCTGTGCCGGCCTTGCGACATGTGACCCTGCGGGAAATCTGACAACATAGGCAGTTTGTCGAGCTAGCTCCACGCTAGCACTGCGCTAGCAGGCAGTTGCCAATGTGAACGCTGGGGCACGTGCCTTGTTGGAGGGCAAATACCCAAGAAGCCACTGGTGAAGTGAAACTGTATTCCTGTAGTACGAAGGTGTAGAACATTGGGATTTCTTGCGTGTTAATATCCTATAGCAGCAGCTCGACAGTTATTTTCTGTCAGTTATTTTTTTCGTTTCTTAGTCAAACCTATTGTGCCGCGATGGTCGTTCATATGGCCCGAACGATTCGGGCCCCCATGGAATGGCGATTTACGCTACCAAACTGGAAGCCAACATTTTGACAACCAGCCATATGCACCTGCATGTCCATCTTCATTCCGAAGCTTGTTGTGGACACCCCCGTCGCTGTTACTGACACGATCGAAAACACATGTGGCATGTTGGAGATGCGAGAGCGCAATGGAATGTGCCAACAACAATTGTCTTTACACTTGGTTGCTGCTGTAGGCTTTTGTCGCAATCACTCATCCACTTGCTTTGCATACTTGCGGGCTTGCTCCGCTACACTACTTAGCGTGTGAGCTACCTTCTGAAGGTTTGCTCGGTTCAGAGGGGCAACATGTGCCGTGTAAATTCGAAAGGGTAAATTGGAGTTATTTGCCTTTCTGAATGTTTGGCTGTGTTGGATTGGGAGCCTTTCCGAGCACAGGACTGAACCTGACCATGCAGCTTTCCAGGAGGCCAGGGGGCGGAGTGCCAGCGCACTGTAAGTGACAGGTGCAAGGAGTACAGCGCCGTTCCTGTTTTTGCAAAAAACAACTCAGAAAAGGTCTGCTCAGATTGTTTCTGTGCTGCCGTCAGGGAGTCCTTTCCTCAAATGTACGTCATGTTTATCTTGTTCTGGCTGGGATGAACGACCGGGCTCGGTTGGATTTTCATTGCTTTTGTGGCTGCGTCCACTGTCCACAAGCAATGGCTGTGTCAAACTTACAATGCCTTGCTTTGCCCAGGTCGCGGTCATGGCTTATACGCCTCGCAGTGCTGGCTGTCGCCACATTCGGTGAGGATTCCCAGCCTTCCGATAGGTCGCGGGATTGCAATGACCCTACTTGCCGGCATGTTTCGCATGGAAGGTGTGCCCTGCTTTCTGAACTTCGGCCCATTTGCGCCAGAGCCCAAGGGCTGTCACGAGGCTTGGTGCGTGGGTGGAGCGTCGGCGACGTCTGCGGTCAACTGTTGCATGGCTCGAGCAAGCAGGGCTACAACAGTTTGAGCCAGCCTGGCATGCAAAAGCTGGAAAGAAAACCAGCAACAAAATACCAGATTGATCATCATCTCGAGTAGTTGCGTCTCAGAGGGTGCAGCAGCTGGAAGGGAGACACGCCAACCTCGGATACAGCCCAAGGCCAAATTACGGCGACATGCCGGGGTGTATTTGTTATGATGCTTGCGCAGGCAGCGTGCAGAGCAAGCACATCTAATTGAAAACATATGTACAACTTGCAAGAGAAGCAGATGTATTTAGTTTGGCCAATGGTGCATGGAGGCAGCTGAGGCGCCTTGTAGCTTCTGGACCGTGGCGTGCCGAATGCCAAGCTGGCCCGTCAAGAGAAGAAATAAGTCAACCAGGTGACACCTGTTCCAGTCCCTGCGTGAGCGCCGCAGGGAAGCTTGCCACGCAGGGCACGCGCACCACGCACTGGGCCCAGCCTTGGGCTTATCAGAGGTGCTGTTGGGCGCTCCAGGTGCATCCTTGTTTCCCCTGACGCTGGTGAGATATGATGCGTCATGGGGCCGCTTGTTTTGGCCGGTTGGCTTACTGCAGGCCATGCTCCTGCCCTTCTGGTTTACCTCCTGACCTGCCCCGCTGACAAGCTTTTTCTCGGCGTTGTTTGTCTCGCTGCTGTGGCTGCTCGGCCTGCTTAGTGGTGGGGGTGTTCTGCTTGCGCGATCCATGCCCGCATGAGGTGGCAGTGTTGATGTGGCTGGAGCCCGGCCCTTGGGTCACTGACCGCTTTGATTGTTACCTACCGGCCAGCAGACAGTCCCCTGCCATCCTTTGCTTTTCACCTTTCAGTGGCTAGGGTTGGAGCCTAATTTATGCTATACGGGAAGCCTAATGAATGTCCAGCTTGGCCCCGCAGTCTGGCCTGGTAGAATGACTCCTGGCAGAATGGCCCAGGTGGGATGGAATGCTTGGCGGGCTGGATTCGTCAGCAATGTTGAAAGCCGAGGTGTCGGTCAGAGCAAGCCAGATGTCTTGGGGACGGTCACTGTCAATTGCGGATGGAACAGTCAATGCGTTTCGTTCCCTTGCACCCGGAAGGCCTTCATGGTCTATGCTTTTGCCTCGTGGGAGGAGGCAGGGCGAGAGACAAGATGGGGCTTATGCGACATCCTCTGCTCTGGCGGTTTTTGTGGATGAACCTGAGGGCTTGCGAGGACCCGTTGGCTGCAAACCGCGGCAACTCTGGCTCCTTTGCGTAGCATGTGGCCGGGTTCTTGGGCACAGGCAGTCATGCACACCGGTTCAGTATTTTCCATGGACTTCTTTGTGCCAGGCCTTCACAGTTGGCTCTTCATCAAAGTATTGATTCACGTGCAGTCAGTTCAGTCAGTGCACAATCAAGCTTTAAGCTAGCCAGACGCAAGCTGATAGGCGGGGTTATGGGCACCACGCGCCATGGAGAGTGACTGGCGGGCTGCTTTGCAGGCTGCCTGCGATCATGAAGCTTGGACCTACAAGCATCAAACACGAGTACCCTCTCCTTCTCTCCTTATCTCCTTCTCTCCTTCTCTCCTTCTCTCCCTTGTCAATCTTCCTTTCGCTCTTGCCAAAGGCGCCCAGGTGACATCCAAATCCGCACATCTCAAGCCCGAGGAGTTCGTGCCGCCTTGGCTTCGAAAGAGGCAGCGTGGCTTGCGGTCGGGCAGCTGGCCTGCTGTGCTGGAGCTCGGAGTGAACGGGGCGGGCATCGCAGGGACCTACCGCAACTCGGCATTTGGAGGTAATTCTGGTGGCGTCCGCACTCTGATTTTGGGGGACATTGCGATGGTTTGGAAGGGCGCAAGTCGTGTGTGCTGAACACATTCGGAAATCGATCAGCCTTGCTTCAAGCAGTTGCTTTGTTATGGTTGTCCTCGCCAAGTTGTGCTTTTTGGCAGGGCTCCAGAAGCACACTCTGCAACAGCTGGCGCTTGCGTCAGTGATGGATGCGGAAAATTAATGGCCCTTTGCATTCCCCCAAGCAATGGGTGAGGCTAACCTCCCTGTAAACTTGCCACAACTTTTAAAGAGAGAATCGTGGCCTCCCTCAGGTCGGATGCGCCCATTTCGTAGAAAACCAATTTTGTGGCACCGTTTTGGCCTTGCAGATGGGTTGAACAAAAGGTGCCCTCAATTTGCAGAGGCTAGATGTTGCTTGTTTTCTTTGATAGTATTGAGGGGTTGGGGGCTAGTTATGTCATTTCGCAGGCATGAAGTTTCGTTGGTGTGGCATTTTTTGGGGATTGTGCTTGGCTGAAGCTTTTGTGGCTTTCTGTTTTGTATTCGGTTTATCGTTGCATTCCTTTATGCTACTTCTGTAAAATTCTGCAAGGTTGGTCGTTTCAGCATCGAATGGCAGACACTGTTACAAGATGCTCGGGCGCTTCCCGGCACGGGCAAATGATGCTAAACACGCTCCCGCGCATCCACAACTGAACCCATGCTGGCACAAATGATGCTACATACACCGCAGCTGCCATGCTGGCACAAGTGATAATAATAAACACGCTCGCGCGCGTCCAAATATTCTAAACACGCCCACGCTGCACTCAGAACCGCTGCGACCATGCTGGCACAAATGAGAATATACACGCTCACGCGCATCGACACTACTTGTAAGCATGCTGGTACATGCTTACAAACACGCTCGTGCGCACTAACAATCATTGCACCCACGCTGAGACACACAATGACATAATTGCACTCTGCCCAGGAAATGATAGCAAACACGCGCTCTGCATCCACTGTGCCCACGCTGGCACAAATAAGCGCATCCGCAACCACTGCACCCATGCCGGCATTTGTTTAACTCTCTCGCACCCGCAAGCACGACAGAACTGATACTGGCACAAATGAGACACTACTGTGCCACTCCCAAGCGCATCCACAACCGCTCTGGCCCACGCTGGCGCAAATGACGTGAAATACACTCGCGCGCACACAATGATCATATAAAGGCTCTCACATCCACCACCCTGCGCCCGGGCTGGCACACTTTTTTTTTGCCCTCTCACGCGCGTCCGCAGTCAGTGCACCCATGCTGGCGCAAACGGTAGCAACCACGCGCTCGCGCATCCACGACCGCGCTCGTGATGGGCGCAAATGATAAGAAACACGCTTGCGCGTATAAGCAATGCTGGCACAAATGGCCCTGACCACGCTCACGCTAGTCCACCAAGCTTACGCGCGTCCTACAAACTCAAAAGCACGTGTAGTTTTCCAATTTTGCTTTGACCTGGTGATCCAGCTATTCATCATTGAGGGTCCTTGGGCTGCTAATATGGCTGCTACTGATCTTGCTGCAGTTTGACTGCCCGCTCCAACAGCAGGTGCAAGGAGAAAATGTGCGCCACCAGCTCTACATACTCTTGGATAACTTGTGCAACCCCGAGGTCGAGCCTAAAAAAATGCTGGGAGATGAAGATTTGGAGGTGTCGCACGCAGACTTCATGGGAATGATTTGGCCAGCCCTCGGAGTGAGCTCCCCCTCCTTACAAATGGTACTCAATCGCTGCGCCCATGCTGGCACACATGATGCTAGGCACGCTCGCGCGCGTCCACAGCTGCGCCCACGCTTGCCCACGTGCACACTCGCGCGCCACCGGCGCCGGCATCGCTCGCCGGCCACCAGCGCTGGCCTAGGCCCTCGTACCCCTTTCATTTTTCATGTAGACCGAGCCAATATACATGTATATATTTCATTATATTTCTATATTTCATATCGTCGATTTCTTATTTATTTTTGATTTATCATAGTGATGCTGCTCCGATCCCCCTCCCCAAAAAGCAAACTTGGCAATTGAATGTGTGTTTTCAGGATGTAAAGAGCTGCGTGACAAGAGTACTTTAGGCCTGGCTTCATCCAGGAGTTCTCCCTGCTACACTTGCAACCAGGCAAGGAGCTCAGCCACAAGCATCGACTCATTCCTTGGGACGGGAGAGCTGTGCAGGTGCCAGATGTACGCCTCGAGTTCTCGCCCACATTGGGTTTGTGGGTGCTCACCAGCCAGCCAGGGCCAAACGGGGAAGATGATCGGGCCGAGAAGACCCGTGGCAGCAAACCGCAGTTTGCTAGGGCCAGTAGCAAGGGCTTGCATGCAGGCCTCCGGCCTCCGATCATATTCGATCATGCCAACTTGTGTTTTAGCAGAGCCTGATGAAACATTTTTTGCGTAAGGAGCCGCGTTTTCTACCAGCTGGGCAAAGCTCGTGGCCGGCAGTTGCTTTATGCCTGGGGCTCGGTGCGTTAGTCGTGTCCACCATGCTGCCACAGACTGCGAGGTTGGCAGCCCGAACCAAGACCTGATGCTCGTAGAGTGGGTCCCAGCGCCTGGGTATGACGCGCAAAATGCACAAGGCACCGTAGGTGGAAGCTCAACATGTCATACCACACTTTCCTCAGTTCATCTTAGCTCCGTGGGACGGTTTGCCAGCACATTTGTCCCAAAGCTGAACATTTGGTGTGTCGAGGTTCTTGGCCAAGCACCGCCCCCGCGGATTCACACGCACATCTCCGAAAAGCTGCTGACGCTTGACACCGTCAGCCTAGGCCCATCATGCCACCTCGATGGACACATTAAGCTTGAGCTGAGAGTGCAAGTCGGATGTGCAATGCAGAAATTGTGACGGGCATGGTAGTTGATCAAAGGGTTGTTTCGACACACAAAGGGTTCTTTTTTGGGATACTGACTCTTTGGTGATATGCCTGTCTGGCTCTTCTAGCTACATCATCAATCTGAACCCGCGGATGCTGTGGTCATTCCTGCCTGTTCATGTGCAGAACCCACCAATCGGGTTGCAAGCAGCTTGCGAGTGAACAAGTTTGCTGCCGGAAGTAGCCATGTTGATCACTATTGGGTCACAATTTCCGGTTGTAAATGCATTCTGAGTCTTGGAATGTTGGACGCTTTGTCCGTTGGGCGCTTGAAGTGCTGGCTTGTCAGGCTTTGTGAATTAACCCGTGAAAGCATTGTCTTGTGTGGCTGGAGGTAATAGTTGCGGCAAGCAATGCGCCTGACACGACTGGCCATGATGACGATGATGAAGGCGATGACTAGGATGACAATCATCATGAAGATGATAAGGATGATGACTCTTATGATAACTATCATCGTAGCATCCTCTGCATTACCAAAGCTGCGGATGACTGTCATGATCACTATCATCGTAGCATCCTCTGCATTACCAAGGGTGCCTAGCGATGATCATGACTACGCATCACTATCGAAACGGCACCTCGCCTCAGATGCCATTTGTGTCATTGAGATTTGGAGTCCTGCCTTCTTTGAATTCTAGAAACCGGTGTCGCTTCGAGACGCAAAAATGGGAGGCGGAGGCGCGCGAATCTCCGCGGAGACTGCCTCCTCTGTGCTGGCTTGCCTTTTGGACCTGAACACTACAAGGTGGGCCTTTGGATAAGGCTCGCAATAGACCATGTTTTTTTTCCGCAACTAGGGCAAATCATGGCATGTGTCAAAGGCAGGCAGGTTGGTGCGCCCTACTTTCAGGCTGAGGAGCTGCATTCGAACACGAATCGCCACAAGTTGCGACTGGAAGTGTGACACGGCGCCACATGTTGCCGTTTGGCTTCATGAGCATGCAGGCTGGGCCCAGGGCACGGCAGGATAGTAGCTTTCACCCGTGGCCAGTGCTGGGGCTTTTTCAACAAGACGCCAGACAACACGATCGGAAGAGTGTGTGAACTACTTGATGTGATTGGTCCATGAAATTGACCGCCTCTCTTGGTGAAAGGTGGCCTTGCAGAGGCCTTGCTCAGCTTTGCAGGAAGGCACTAGTGGTTGAACAGGATGATTCAGCACATGTTTGGGGCGCAGCAAGGGGTTCGATTCCCGGCTTGGTTGATTCTTGCGTTTAAGACATCGGACACCCCAACGTGAGCGACGAAGGGTTAGTTCTTCTTGAAAGCTGTGCCGGGTTTCAGAAGTTTGTGAAAGCTCTTGGGCTTGCAAGTTGAAAACTGGGCCATCTTCGCCACTGGATATATAGTGCAAGGGTGCAGACGCACATCACGGCTGAATGTAGCTGATAATCACCAGAAAGATAGACATGATGATAAGAAGACGGTGGTGCGCTGT